ACATGAAGGGGTGTAACTTGTTGGAAGTTTGAGAGGCGTAACTTGCAGTTATCAAGATTCCATGTGAGATGTCACACCGAGATGTTGTTAGCAAGATGGCGGAACAGCGAACACTTTCATCAAATGCTTTCATGTTTTCTCCAAATTTATCCACAATCAATTAATTTGATATAATAATATACTCATTCATTTGGCAACTCCACTCGCTGACTTCTTCATCCATTTTGACATGACAGTTAGCCTACTCTGCGTCGCACCCCTGTAGTTGCAAGTAACAGTACAATGGCAAGCGCGTCAAATATCAAAGCATCCACAACTCATGGCTGTTCTTTAAAAACTGTGATGGTTGGGGAAGGTGTAGACGTTAATAACTGTGATGGTTGGGTTAGGCGTAGGTATAGACATTAATAACAGTGAGGAATCTGTTAAGGTTTGGGGACGGTTTAGACATTAATAATAATGAGGATTGGGTTTAGGTTTGAGAAAGGTGTAGACATTAGCCCCTTTCACACAGTGATACCGGTAAATATCTGGAAAATTACCGGAACGACATTACCGGTAAGTAAAAAAAAAAAAAAGCGCTGTTCACACAGGCAAGGACGTTACATAATTTTTCCGGAAAAGACCGTTCACACATCCACTCCAAAATTCTAAAGTTGAAATCTGACATCATTAACCAGAAATCACCTCTAAACGGCTGCACTTGTACCAACTCTGTGGACGGATGAGTATAGTGAACAAATTATATGAAAACATATAGAGGAACACTTTCGCATGTCGAGATATACATAATGTGTTTGTGCTGGCGCTCACCAGCTGCTTCACGTGCTCACATGTCAGAGCTTTAAGGTAAACAAACAACGGCTGATCATAAGCTTTTTATCGATAATTTTTAACACAGTTGGCAATAAGGAGCATAAAAATATTATCTGACTTACATCTAGCAGCTATGTCTGGAAAAATATTCAAAGGCTTTTATTTTCATAAACCATGAAGACGTGAATGCGTCTGCGTTCATACAGCGCAGCACTCTGGCAAATTACCAGTAATGTTACAACTTCTCTTTCCGGAAAATTGATGAAACTAACTTACCGGTATTTTCAAAAAGGGCCTGTTCACACATACTGTACAAATTGCCGATAATTTTCTGAAAAGATCTGTATGTGTGAAAGAGGCTAGTAATAACTATGATGGCTGGGGTTAGGATTGAGGTTGATGGAGACGTTATTAACTATGATGGTTGGTTTTAGATGTGGAGTAGGTGTAAACGTTAATAACTGATGTACAGTGCCATCTTGCCGACAATAGAGTTTTGACACGTGGGTCTCCATAACTTTAAGTTACGCCTCAAACATACTACAAGTTACACCCCTTCATACAACCGTCTTGCAGTTTGTAGAGCCAGTATCCTGCATATTTTAGCTCCAACTTCCTTCAACACACCTGCCTGAAAGTTTCTAGTATACCAAGTAAAAGCTTGATTAGTTGGTTCAGGTGTGTCTGATTGGAGTTGGAAACTCTGCAAGACACCGGCCCTCCAGGACCGAGTTAGGGCACCCTAATTTAGGCGGAGGTGACAAACTACAAGCTTTACATGTTTATTTATTCTAAACGCAAATTAGCCACTGCTTTGGTGCACTAGCATAAAAATATGAAAAAATAACTATACTACATCTAAAAAAACTAATGGGACCTGAAATCGTCAGGCTGACGTCAAGAACCATCACTTAAAATAGTCAGTCTTTGATTAAAGCTTAAAAAACAAACATGTATTAATCATGGAAAAATTGTTCACCTAAACAACAACAACGTCCGCTAGCAAAACAAACATCATATCGTGATTTCACATGGACTTTAAATATTTACTATGGCATCTTCCACTGTTTTGTTTCACTTTTTTAACAGGATTGACTGTAGTTTACAATATACACGCTGTAATAAGCTAGTGCAAACATACAGTAACTTGAGCGTCTATGTTTCCCAGCATGCACCCGCCCAGCATCCATAATCACCTCAGCAGCTGCTTCTGTATGCTGCGTTTGCACTGCTGTGCTCCAGTTGGCTTTCTAATAGTTATCTTCTGATAGCTTTACTCCAGAGTCCAGCCAATTGGCATCATGAAAGCTGTCAACACTACAGTCGGCGTCTGCATACCACCAGCCAGGCTTTAAACCACTCTCTTAATTATAACAGCTCAATACGTACCGCTGTTGACCACCAGGGGGCAAAGAGAGAGCGGATGAGGATGAAGCTGTCCACTCGCACTATGAAATGCCGGCCTGTTTTACCCAGCAACTTTTTTCCCGAAAAGCACCTAACAAATTTAGCAATTCTTAACTTTCATTTGGCTACTTCTTAAGCCTTCTTTTTAAAAAGTGACCCAAAAGAGCAGTGGCTGCAGGCTTCACGCAGTAGAGTAAACTGCTATCTCAGATTGTTTTTCATTACTGGTAATTTACTGATATTTGTTAAAATGTATTTAATTGTTGGTAATTTAGGTAGCAATACATTCCAATAGTGCTATAACTGTTGTCACTTTCACAAATGTGTTAATTTCACAAGTTAAAATAGTTGGCAACACTAATTTTGACAGACTCAGACTAACCCAGCGTTGAAGACTCTTTTTTCACCATAAATTTGAATTACACCTTTATCCTAACTGTTGGATTTGTGCGTATTTGACTCAGTGTTGTGTTACAACAATCCAGCTTCCCTAAAGTTTCCAGGAGTCTCTAACTACCATACATTTATTTGAATACATTTTAAAGATGCATCTGTTTAGAGACACAATGCTGCCTATGAAAATCTTTAAAGAAAGAGATTTTTTTGTTATGTAAACATCTAAACCTTTTCCCCCAATCTGATATTTCCAAAGAGGCATTACAGATTTCTCCAGAAGAAACATTGCAAATTTTAATTGTCAATAAACAGACAAAGTCATTTGTGGGTTCAGAAATTTCAATTTTAATGAAACAACATGAATTGCAATATAATGTGAACATAACATAGCGCATTATTGTGACCCAATTCAAAAGTATGCAAATGATTTAATCAGGCAGCAGAGAATATGTATTTTTATGAAAGCACAAATTCGCCATGTAATTAAAGACTGGCAATTTGAAGTCAAACAGCATGGCAATACACAAATGTCCCTTCAAATTTGCATTAATATTAGGTGAGATTTTACGCAGTATGGTACAATTTGGTTTTTTAGTAACCACAAGATTTCTTGATTAATTTGACCTCTTTAATCTCCCGAAACAGGGCATTAAAAATTGTAGGAGAAAATTGTAGTTTATCCTCTGTAAATTGATAGACTGGAGACAAAATCAGCATTACACACAAACATGCACTAGCAAGATGTTTTACCCCAAAAAAAGTTAAGAAGAAATCTTTTGGCATAAAAACCACATTGTTCACGTGTCTTTTACAATTGATTTTAACATGACACTCATTCATTAATTTCCAAATTAGAATAAAATGTTGCATTCTACGTCTTTGTGAATGATTAGTCATTTCTGTATGATTTTTTTCTAAACAATTTTTTTTCAGTATGTGATGTGCACCTTTAATACAAAAATCTTCCAAATGCATAAACGTAGATGTATTTGGTCATGCAAAACTTGACTTCAGAGCTATAGGGATTTTTATAAATAACTGGTACAGGAGCTACACTAGGAGTGTCCAAAGCCTCGTTTCTCATCAGCTTTTATTTTGCTTCGTCAGCTTTCAGCTTTACTTTTTATATATACTTTAGCTTATCCATGAACATGATTTCTGCAGGAGTCTTGTGAGATGTAATGAATACCACAACTCCTGTGATTCCACTCTCAGTCGCTGCGTCATCGAACTATGTCTTTGTGTGTTGTGAATACGCACCCTCTGTCAGCGAAAATTTAACATTGTACCTTTAAGGTATAGTTTCATGAATATTTTTTCATGCATAATGCTGAGTTCACACCAAATTTGAATTTAGGTTTTTGCCCAAGTAGACTGCAAAGTCAATGTAAATGCACAAATAAAGGCAAATTTCCACTGAGTTTGATAGTATCTAGATGCAGCCTTGATTATGCAAGCTTAAACTGCAATTCTTGGACCTGCAATGTCAGACACAATGTTCTCTATGGAGCTAGTGATGTCTCTGTGAGGGGTTGGGGTAGGGTTCATTTCTACTTCTACGTTGAGTGCACGCATATGGTCCAGCACAGCCTTTACGGAGTCACGACCATCAGCATCAACGCTTGCCATTCACTTTGAAAAGGTGGTGTCAAGCATTGCCTAACTGAATTGTGGGTCCGTCTGTGCAGTTTCAGCGGCGTTGCTTGCTGCAGAAGTTGGGAATTCCTTAATGTTTCAAGCTGCAATAGATGTGTCAGCCAATCGGATCGCTTTATGCAAGTTACCCAGCTCAGTAGCTGATTGTAAATTTGTTTCATTAGCTGATGCTATGATAATCGCGTCAGCCACAACTTCAGACACACCCTCTGCCAAACGTTGACGCTGAAGCCCCGTGTAAAGCCTGATTTATACTTCTGCGTCAAGTGACCGGCGTAACCCACGGCGCATGCAACGCATGTGGCTGTGCATTTATACTTCTGCACGCTGTCTCTGTCGGTCTGCATTAACACTTCCGAAACACTAGTGGGCAGTGAGGTGTAAATGTTCCTCTGTGTCGAGTTTCTTCGCTGCTGTTTTGCTTTTCCTGAACACTTCCGGGATGTACAAGTGGCTCAAACTCGCTCATTTTGAGGCAGGAACCGGCGGACGTGCAACAACTTTAACTATGAGGTAAACACAAAACAAAACTTTCAATCCGGAGTTCCTTCACTGGACTCCACACTTGTAAACAATCGCTCGCGCCATTTGCGCGGCTCTCGGTCCCGCCCAGACTCGTCAGCGCTACCCAGCCGACCAATCACAGAGCTTACGCTACGCGTCGTTGTGACATGTAGTTACATTTTTTGAGAGGTGCACGTCAGTGACGGCGACGGCCACGGCGAAGGGCTATGCGTCAGCGCCGTAGCATACGCCGGCGTTTGACGCAGAAGTATAAATCAGCCTTAAATCGGGCGTTGCATAGCCCTCACCATGGCTAATACTTCCTCCGACACTGACGCGCACCTCTCAAAAAATGTAACTTCACATCGCAACGATGAGTAGCACAAGCTCTGTGATTGGTCGGCTTGGTAGCTGGTACAAATGTAGGTGGTTCTAAGAGCCATGAGCACGATGAAGCGATTGTTACAAGGGTCGAGTCCCATGGAGGAGCTCCAGATGGAAACTTTTGTTTTGTTTTTACCTCATGATTAAAGTTGTTACGCGTCCGCTGGTTCCCATCTCGGAATGAGCAAAATTTAGCTACTTGTACATTAAGGTAGCATTTAGAAAAACAAAACGCATGCGAAGAAACTCGACTCAGAGGAACATTTAAACCTACTGCCAGCTAGCAAGAAATAACAAATGTTATTGCAGAATCAAACAAACAGCATGCAGAAGTATAATGCACGACTACGCGCAAAGCATCACTCGATGTGAAAGTATATAAATAAGCCTTTAGGGGTGGGGTTAGTTGTGCGCATTAAATAGTATTGCATGCAGCTCAGATTGTATCTGCTCCAGGTCTGCATCCAGACCCCTCTCGACACGTTTGCCTTGAAAATAGAGATTTAAAATTCACCTCTTCTGTGCAAGTTTAAGGAATTCAACTGTGAAAAACATCCCGTGAGTAAACTAGAGCAAGTGACTCGATGCTTCTCCTTTGATGTGAACCCAGCATTACACGTTTGCAGAAAAGAGCTTGCTTCTACATCACAAAATCAGGTGAATCTTGTCTAGACAGCACTTTGACCTTTCAAGAGCAAGACTGGACACCCCCGAGCTTGACTCTCATTTTTTGGATACTATCAGGGTGTGATAGAGGGGCTTCACAATAATGTGCAGGTAAAGCGAGCTGTCTATGAGGTACTCAGATGCTCTACGCTGCAGATCCGCCTCCAGCAGAAAGTCTCCCGCTTCTTCGGTGCTCTGGTGGAAGTTGTAGACGTGACGGACCACCACCTTTCCCTGCTTCCGGGCTGAAACGATGACAGTCTTTTGAAAGCTGACACCAGCAAAGTCTGGGCTTGAAGTAGCCGGAGTGACGATGATCCGAGGACGGCCTGCATCAGTACGAGTCAGCAGCATGGATCCCTGCTCTGGATAAGAGGATCGCACGCTGAGAGGAAGCCAACGTGGAGAGAAAAGAGCGTTCCACGTTATGCGTTTGCTAACATCATGGCCACTCGGTCCAAGTTGAGTCTGAAAACTGAAGCTTCGGTCGTCCCTTGTAGGGTTGTTGATCACCCATGGTGAGCCCCATGACAGTGACAGGTAGTTTCGGGGCGTAAACAGGCTGCAGTTTACATCATAGTACTTTGCGAGCTGGATTGGCGAAGCTGCGTGGAATTGGAAGGCCAGAAAAAGCAGGTCGCGTACAGATTCGTAATATTTCAACATCAGTGGAGACTTCTTCTGAAGGTGGAACAGGTTTTGTGGAGATATCATGGCGTAGCGTATTGCCTTGAGTGCGTTCTCGGCTGTCTCATCTGAAGGCTGGTTTTGGTTGATCCATGCTTCCAGGGCTTCATACAGCTCCAGTTCGCTTTGCAGAACCAGATCTGAGCGCTGCAGCAAAGACAGCAGCAGTTCTCCACTCACCGAGCTCCATTCGGCACTCTGTAAAACCGACGACAGGTTCCAGGACAGATACTGCAGGCAGCTGTTCTGTAGGGTCACATCGCCGATTTGGGTGGCGTATTGGTACCAGGCCACAACGTGACCCGCAGGGGAATCGCTGGACAGGTGCTGAGTCATGTATTGGGTCAGGCCCTGCTGCAGATCCCACACGTGATACTTGGTGGCCAGCTTGTGTAAAGGGATGGCCTGATTCAGACGCACTGTGATGTCTCCACAGTATAAGTACCTGCAGGGAAAGAGGTCAAGTTGTTAAAAAAATTTTTTCAAGGTTATCTAAAGCAAAGCATTCAAGGGACTGTCCTGGAACGTACCCTCCAAAGTTTGCAACAAATGAAAACGTCATACCTGAATAGGCTAAATGGTGCAATAACAGACTTTTTCTACATTCTTCAGGGTAAAATCTGGAAAAATTCCATTGTGTACTTGTAGATTATGACCTGTTTTATATATTTATAAAACAGGTCATAATCTACAAGTACACAATGAAAGAAAGAGAACACTTAAACAACACAATGTAAGTCCAAGTGTCACCTTTATTTTTTTGAGCAATTTATTCTATTACGGACCACACTCGTTGTGGAAATTATTGTTTGAATACTATATGTGGTTTTAATTTCCAGACAAAGTATAAGATTGACATAAAATATTACATTTAAATAGCATTTTACCTATTTTTGCCAAATTGTGTTAATTTAATAAAAAATGTCAATTAATATTATATATATTTTTTTATCTGACATAACATGATGGCTAGTTATAGGACAGACAGACAGACAGACAGACAGACAGACAGACAGACAGACAGACAGACAGATAGATAGATAGATAGATAGATAGATAGATAGATAGATAGATAGATAGATAGATAGATAGATAGATAGATAGATAGATAGATAGATAGATAGATAGATAGATAGATAGATAGATAGATAGAGATAAAGACGGACGGACGGACGGACGGACGGACAGACAGACAGACAGACAGCTAGATAGATAGATAGATAGATAGATAGATAGATAGATAGATAGATAGATAGATAGATAGATAGATAGATAGATAGATAGATAGATAGATAGATAGATAGATAGATAGATAGAACTATGAACATTTTAGCTTGTTATAAATATTATATTATGGACCATATTGATTGTGGAAATGTACAAAATCTACAAATAAAAAATATAACAGCTTTTTTTTTTAAATACAATGCTGAAATATGGAGAAAAAAAGCTTTTATCATAATTCTGTGTAATGTAAACATTAATTCTGACTTGTATTTGTAGAATCATATAAAATACTGTGATCATACTAAATTTTAACAAATGCTTTCAGGATTTTGTGGTCGATATAAGTTTCAAATAATTTACAAATAATTGCCATCTCCAGTACAAACCCACAATGAGCAACAGCTTATTTTACTGTCTACCAAAGTCAACTAAAGGGAAAAAGGATTACATCATATGCTCCCAGTTAGTGGTATGCTATGGCCTATTGATTATAGATTTAGGCAGCTAACTAAAAGGTTGTATGTTCAAGGGTAATGCATGCAACGCGTCTCCTCAACCCCAGGCTGCTCCATTAGGTTATCATTGTAGTTTGTAAATCCCTTTAGATTAAACAAATATTATCTAAAGGACCTGTCCTAACCTTGGCTCTATTTGTTTACCTTATTTTTTATATTAATTTCAGAAATAGTACTGAATAATATGCAAATGTGTATGTAATTTATTTAAGTTTAGTTTGTAAAGTAATATTTTTCTGTCTTTCAGAAGACTTATTAAATGAAAGAGTTGTTTTGTTTACCAAACAATTGGTTCTAATTGGTTTTGCCTTAAGCAAGAGTTTAAAAGTTACTATTTTTAATTTAATGTGCACTAAAAAAAGGATTCATTGGATTTACCAGGTTTTTAGGGTAAGTGGTTGCAAACTATATGGGCTGAATTTAAATAAATTAAATTCAGCCTATTTAAATTGTTTGCAGCCACTTACCTTTAAAAACATGTACACCCAATGAATCTTTTTTCAGTGTGGTAAAAAAATAGCAATAAAATGTCTGTCATTTTTGCATAGTAAGTTACAGTATTAAAGTAAAAAAAAAAAAAAAAAAAAAAAAATATATATATATATATATATATATATATATATTTATTTATTTATTAGTAATAATTTAATATGGTATATTTTTGGTTACTATATTCCCAAACTCATTCTGTATAATATATATATATATATATATATATATATATAATTTTTTATTTTATTATTATTTTTTTAAATTCTAAATAGCAAAATGGCTCACCTAACGAACTTCTCAAAGACGGCAGCGCAGTCTGAAGTCTCTTTGAGGACCATGGCGGTGGAGTTACGGGTCTGCAGGAGCTCATCAAACACGTCACTCTGCAAAGTCAACACCAGCGAATGCACCTGGATCACCTTCACCTCATCCGTGTTGACGGTCTGAACGCGCAAGACCACATCGCTGCCGTTTCCCTGGGTCAGCAGAGCCTCCATGCGCTGCACCAGTGCCATTGAGTGGTTCAGTGTGGTGGCCGTGTTGTCGAGTAGAACATCCGGCTTTAATGCTGCTACAGGAGATACAGAAGATAGACATCATGTAAAAATGCTGGATTACACACAATTCCTTCATGTTATCTCAACACAAATCTATTAAGTTGACGTCATTGTTTTTACAAATTTAAGTGGATTGAACCATTAAGTTGTCCCCAAGAAAAAAAACTTTTATGGAAAAAATAGAAAAAAGAAAAAAGAAGTAGTTTGAACTAACAACAAAAGTCATTTTTGAGTGTAGAAATAGGTACAAAAGCTGTGACTGGAGTGATAACCTTTCAAAAGATTCATTTATTTGCCACTAATATCTATCTTTAGAGGGATAGTTCACCCCAGAAATGCAAATTTAAGAACTATTTACTCACATTTAAGTGTTTCCAAACCTTTATGAGTTCCTTTCTTCTGTTGAACACAAGAGAAGATACTTTGAAGAAAGTTGAAAACCTGTAACCATTCACTTTTATAGCAGGAAAAATAAATACTATGTAAGTCAATGGTTAAAGGTTTGCAACATTTTTTTAAATATCTTCTTTTGTGTTTAACAGAACAAATAACCCCATAAAGGTTTGAAACAAGTAAATGATGTGTAAATGAGGACACAATTGTAATTTTTGGGTGAATTATCCCTTTTAAAGATAAATGTGGTTCCTTTAGATATTCATATTAAAGGGATAGTTCATCCAAAACTGAAAGTTCTGTCATCATTTACTCACTGTGTACTCACCATTTACTTGTCACCTGTTTCTCTGTTGTGATTGAGCATAAAAGAAGTTATTTTGAAAAATGCTCCTGAAAACTCTAATCAGATTAAAAAAAAATAGTTTCAAGAGCTCCCACTTAGATATGCTTTGCGTTTATAGCAGGTTTGGCTTGCTGTCCCAGGAGAGAACCCTGAGCTTGGAGATACTTGAGCCCAAGGCTCCCACCTGGTCAATAAGCAATGCATATAAGAGGATCTGAGATCAGGTAGGTATGGAGAGCTTCCCCTTAGAAAAGGGAGGAAAAGGAGGAGCCGGGGTGGAAGGTGGGATTCTTCCAAAACGAAGATAGAGCAATAAGGAGAAAACGATCCATTTATAGTAAACTAGGATTACTCTGATTGGATTATAACTGATTACAGATGAGCAGCCAGTCGTGCTCAATCATATCACATGCTCCTCTCGAAATTAGTTTGTGAAACTTCACTTTTCCTACTGTCAATAGTTACTGGTTTCTAATATTTAAAAAATATCTTCCTTTGTGTTTAACAGGAAAAATAAAATATATTCATTAAGGTCTGAAACCACTTAAAGGAGAATAAATAGTGAGTAAATGTTCATTTTGGGGTGAACTATCCCTTTAATGTGTTATTAAGCATTCTTTAGGTACTAATATATACACTTACTGCAACCTTTATTTCTGAGAGTGAAGATTGTGTTAAAAAAAGAGTCACCCAAGACAGAAAGTGCCTCAAAACTTCCAAAGAATAACTTTGCACTTTCAAAAACAAGAACAATGTACTTTATCAGAGGTTTCAATGTTCCTGCATGCATTTGCGCTGCATATTTTATCAGTTATTGAATGATGAGACAATCACTCATAGTAAGAGACACACAACTGTAGCCACTCTCATTAGTAACTGGTGTTAACATTTAAAGTGCACACTGAAAATATGTTTTCCATCCATCTCTTTTTGCTCTTTCAAGAAATCTAAATCACATCAAATTAAGCATTTGAGAGGTTATGTTGCGTTTCAGCTTCCAGAGGCACTTTCAATGTCAAAAGACCCCGAATTCAGGCTGAGGAAAAAGCGAGGAACGTGCAAGCCTGAATACAAAATCACATAGACCTTGTTAATGAAAGGCTCTGACTGCTGCTCTTGAAGTCATGTGACTCATTCACTTGCACCTGATCAGTTCAGACATTTGAAAAGCTACTGCATTTCCTCTAAACATGGTGAATTTACAGTAAAATGCAACAATACGTCTGTATGAATGTGTAAAGGGGTGGTGAGGGGCCCCTTTACAGTCATTTACTTGTTTAAAACCTGTTATTGAAGGTATCTTTAAAGGGATAGTTCATCCCAGAAATGCTAAATTAATCACTATTTACTCACCTTTAAGTGTTTCCAAACTTTTGTAAGTTTCTTTATTCTGTTGAACACAACTGAGGATGTTTTGAGGGAAGTTGAAAACCTGTAACCATTGACTTCCACAGTAGGAAAAACAAATGCTATGGAAATCAATGTTTACAGGTTTCCAACATTTTTCTAATTATCTTCTTTTTTGTTCAACCAAAAAAAAAGTAAGTCATAAAGGTTTGAAATAAGTAAACGACGAGTAAATTATGACAGAATTGTAATTTTTGGGTGAATTGTCCCTTTTTAAGATAAATGTGGTTCCTTTAGATACAGATATTTACTGTTAAAGGGATTGTTCAGCCAAAACTGAAAATTCTGTCATTATTTACTCACTATTTACTTGTCACCTGCTACTAAATGTACAGTAATATGCAACAATATGTCTGTATAGATGTGTAAAGGGAGACATTTAAAGATACATATCAGGCAAAATGAAACTTCTGCCATCATTTACTTGTTCAAAACCTGGTATTGAAGGTTTTGAAGGTTTTAAAAGACTCTCTTATGTTAAACACAAAAGAAGATACTTTGAAAAATGCTGGAAACCGGTAACTATTGACTTTCATGGTATTTATTTGTTCTACATGGTTACAGGTTTCAAACATTCTTCAAAATATCTTCTTTTGTGTTCAACAGAGGAAAGAAACTCAAGGAGACAGTTGATGGTGAGTAAAAAGCCGGTAAATGTTCATTTTTGAGCGAACTACTCTTTAAAAGCATGTAAAATAAATCATTCTTATTGTATCATTCCTCAAAAAACTATCAAAATGGATAGCTATACAATAAATATTTAACATTTGTGCAGGTCATATCAGGGCTGAATGTTTTGAGATAAACGTTACGTTTTTTAAGAAGTATGTTCTCACATAACATACAAAAGTCACACATCTAAAAATCAAGCAACTATTAAAAAATAAATAAACCTAATTTTCATCTTACCTCCAGCACAAAGCGCAAGACAAAGGCTGGCCAGACAAACCACGACAGGAACACTTCTTCCTCCAGACTTCACCATGTTGTCCTTGTTTCTTTCTATGTGCTTTTTTTCCCCCACTCGGGTCTCTCTATCAGTATGAGCTGCCTGTCCCACACTCTTTATGTAGGACGCTGGCACATAGCTGAGCATCTCGCAGCCTCACGGAGCCCATTGATTGGTGGAATCCGGCTGGGCCGTTGCCATGACGACCGCTTTGATTGTGAGTTGTTTCTCCTCTTTCAATGTTACATGATATTGATCTGCGGCACCGGGCCGTGTGTTTGGACTGTATAGTGGGCGTCTGGAGTGGGATGCTGTCTACACATGGGGGGCTGTTGTTACCAATGTGTTTGGCTGAAATAAAGGAAAACATGAATGTTATTGCACGTTATTGCAGTATGTTGCATTGCACTGAGGAACATCTCAAAACACAAAAATGCACTTTACAATCACTGGATCACGGATAAAGGATCAGCAATTCCACAAAGTTTAACATTTAATCGTGTTTTGTATGACAATTATCATTTAAACAAATATTTTGAACAATTCTCATAAACACATTTAGCACAACATCGGTCTGTAGGCTAAATAAGTAACCAAACATAACAATTGAAATATTTATAAGCTATGTATTTGATAGTTATAAGTTCACAAGCTAATTCCAACCAAGGCTCATTCTAAATCCGTACCCCTATATACATTTTTGGAGAGAGCTAAATAGGTCCCAGGAGCTACATTTTATTTTTTTGCTGTTTTTGTTTTTGCAAGTCCAGCAGAGGTCACTGTGTACTATTGTTTTCAGTGCCATTCGTGCCTTCTGTTCTCACATAAATCCACCAGAGGTCGCTGATGACTGACTGACTTACTGTCTGACCAACCGACCAATCCCCCACCCCTAAACCCAACCAATAGGGTTTTTAAAAGCACAAATTGACCCGCCGACGCCCTTCCCTAAACCCAACTGACTGTTTGATAAAGCAGTGCAGAAAAAGAAAAGATTCTCACATACCACATTCTCACCCTGTTATTTACTCTTATATTTTTTTAGATTTTGATTGTCTTACCTGCTTTCTGGAACCGTTCTTCGCTGGACTCAAACCCTGTTGATGCAGTTAACTCCTCTCTGCTTCTTAAGTCTGCCAATTTACATCTTGAGCTACCGGACAAACTGATGACAGCAGGAAAGCCGTCTATACAGAGCGAGTAGTCATCTGGTAAGAGTGTAAAGGAAAAGTATCATACCGCCCCATAGCGTTTGTTTCAAAGACGAAATGCAGCCATGCGTACTTCTGGTTACATAATTTGCAATCGGAATATAATGAATATAAAAGAAATGTATATAGGGCTACGTTTTCAGAATGAGGCTATAGCCTCATTCACACGAGCGACTCACAGCGGCACAAGTGACTGTTCATTTCAACAGAGTTCCAGCGACCTCCGTCAACACTGCAAAGTCGCTGCTAGTGTGAATAAGGCATAAAGTGTGTCAATTCATAAGCTCATAGGTATGAAAATGTGTGTTTAAGAGGAGGCGTGCCACCAATCCCCACCCCTAAACCCAATCAGCATTAGGGGATGAGCAAATTGTACCATGTAAGAATGGGATTGTGCTATAATGTAGCCTACACAGACTGATGTTGTGCTACCTATGATATGACGAGTTTAATAAAAATTTTGAAGATATATATATATATAAAAAAACACCATTGCATTTTTTTTAATAAAAGCAAGAATTGTGTTTTTTTAACACTAACTCACGTCAATTTGTAAGCTCATAGGTACACAAATGTGATTTTTAAAAGGAGGCTCATCATTGGGGGATGAGAAAATTATACCATGTACAAATAAGATCGCGCAATTTCAAGGTAACAAATTGGTGTGTGTTTTTATTTTTTTTAGATATAATTTCAATAGGAGCACATGGTGGCTTAGTGGTTAGCACTGTTGTCTCACAGCAAGAAGGGTGCTGGTTTGAGTCCTGGCTGGGCCGGTTGGCATTTCTATGTGGAGTTTGCATGTTCTCCCCGTGTTGACGTGGGTTTCCTCCGGGTGCTCCGGTTTCCCCCACACTCCAAAGACATGCGCCATAGGTAAATTCATTCATTCATTTTCTTTTCGGCTTATTCTCTTTATTATTCCGGGGTCGCCACAGCGGAATGAACCGCCAACTTCTCCAGCACGTTTTTATGCAGCGGATGCCCTTCCAGAAACTATAGGTGGATTGAATTAACTAAATTGGCAATTGTGTGTGTCTTCCAGTACCGAGTTGCAGCTGGAAGGGCATCCACTGTATAAAACATATGCTGGAAAAGTTGGCGGTTCATTCCATTGTGACGACCCTTGAATCCTCTGTATTCTATTCTACTAGGAAATATTTGACTGAAGTTTTCCAAATATATAGATTACAGCTGATTTTAGATTCTAATGAACCTCTTTGGACTGATATTGTGGAAAATAAACAACCAAGAGCAACACAAAGAAAAAATATCTTCTCAAGAAATCCCAAAGCAGTATGCAAATTTCTTTTTTATTATTATTAGTTTCTCTGACATTTCTCAGAAAATGCATTTTCAAAGAATTTTTGAGCTTACATTTTGCACTATTTCAATGCCGACCCTAAACCCTATCCCACATGGCATGTTGAAAACAAAGCAGTTTTTTCCCTTAATGGTTGTACTAATCTGTTAATATTTTATTTGTCTACAATTTCACTGCTAACTTTAGATAAGGCTGCAGATAAATACGTTTGCTTATCTTACTATTGTTGCAAACCATTTATATGGCCTGAATTAAAACAACTTAAACTTAGTAATGTTCGACGTCATTTGTTTGTTCAAATTCAAGCCAAATAAATTGTTTGCACCCACTGACCTTAAATTTTTTTTTAGTAAATATAATTAATCATTTATTTGAGTGTGCATGAGATATAAGATTTCAGTTCGTGCTCATGTTATTATGTCTTGCTCTCAATAATCCCTAGACCTACATCTAGATGAGATGGTACATCTGCACTCATAAACAACCACAAAACAGCTCTTTATAATCAGCAAAAACAGACAACAGCTCCCTGTGGCCAGTATGAATGTATCATCTGAAAAAGCTGTAACCACATTTAATCATGCACATTAAACAGCATTAAACTGCTGATTTAAAGAACTGCTTATTAATTTAAACTTGCTTTAAATTGAAAAGTATTGTAATTGAACTCGTAGTATATTCCTATTAATCTCCACCTATGTAATTGCTATTATACAATTGAGATTGTGTCAAGTGCAACAGAAATAAACCATTGCAACACAAAATAAAAATGCTAGGCAAACTTAATTTTAGTTTTAAATGCATCTCAGTGCATTATATAAAAGTGTGGATTTGTCATTAACACAATCCCGCTACACCCTCTTGTAAATATGCTGCCAGAAATTTCTTCAATACAGTGATTTTACCCAGTGGAGAGGTAGCAAACACGCAATACAAAGTGATAGAATCAGAGCATCATGTGGAGTTTGTTGCAGAGCTGTCAGGTTTGTGCCTCTGTTTCTGCTGCTTCATCTGTCTGTAAAGCTGCACTACTCTCTCACGCTCTTCCTCCATAATCCTCTTCCTCGCCATCGAAGGTTTGTTCACCGACACAGAGCTGTGGCCAAGGAGGGAGTTCAAGAGAAGACCTTTGGACGCCCCCTGTGGAGACAATTATGAGAAAACGGCATCACAAAACGATGTGGAGCAGTGTTTCTCAACCACGTTGCTGGAGGACCACCAGCACTGCATGCTTCAGATGTCTCCTTTGTCTGTCTCACCCATTACAGTTCTTTCAGTCTCTGCTAATGAGCTGATGGTCTGAATCAGGTGTGTTTGGTTAAGGAGACATGGAAAATGTACCGGGCTGGTGGTCCTCCAGGAATGTGAGAAACTGATGTAGATGTATGCAAGTTAATTACCTGAGGTTTGACTGTGGCTTTCTTTGGTTTGACACTCAGTGATGGAGGTGCCATGGCCACTTCTCCAAATTGCACTTCATCTAAAAGAGAAATTGTGCTCATTATACATTGTAATAAAAAAAAAAAAGAAATTATTTATTCCACACTACCTCAAAAAAAAACTATTCATCTTTAACAGGTTTAAAGAGATGCATAAGGAATCACTTTAATGTTGTTCTGTAACTCTGTAATAATTCTATTGCATGTATGATTTCATTTTATTTTTATGTATGTGACTTTATGATCTTTTTTTTTGTGTATTCATTATTCACTTTCACAATAATTCACATTATTTACTTTATTGTAATTTAGCATTTGTTGTAATGCAGTTGTTTTGTTATTGTTTTCTATTTTTATTTTATATTAATATTATTTTGGTTGAGGCTTTAAATAAGCCTTTTGGGCTTCTGCATCTTCCTGCACATTATGGCTTCTTTTTCTGTTTTATTCAAATATTTTTTATTCTTGTGCAAATAAAAACATTAAAAAAAAAACATTATTATTTTTTATATACAGCTGAAGTCAAAATGATGAGCCTGTGATTTTTTTTTCAAAAAAATTTCAAATGCATTTTCCAAGTGATGTCTGCAAGGATAAAGAGCAAAGAAAAATGAGAAAGTCCTACATATTTTAGTATGGTTAGAATAAAATTTTTCAAAACAGAAAAGTAAAAATTGCTCAGCTCAGTATTCTTAACTCTCTTAGGATTTTTTTTTCACTTTTCGTTGGACTACATTGTCTAACAACTTGGCTAATTATTCTATTAGGCTAGTTAAGCCTTTAATTTGCACTTTAAGCTGAATACTAGTATCTTGCAAACAGCTAGAAAAATATTATGTACTGTAAGGATGTCCCAAGGGAGATTTCTATTTTAGATTTAGATTTTCGTGTTCTACTTTGCTGGCATTTAACTAATTGCGTCTCTGCAACAAAGTGATGTCATGCCACACGCATTGCTGTTTCTGTGTGAAGTCAAGAAAGAGGTCTAACTCTGTGCCACTGCATAGCTATAGATGTGTTAACAAATAATGAGGATATATAATGTACAGATTTATTCTAGTCCTGATCGGGAGGTCACGTCCGATTCTGATCGAGCACGAAAATGCATTATAGGAATTTAAAATCACTTGATCGAATTTGGACATAACTAATGTACTGTCATCACGACCAGAATAAAAAAACAAGTTATTAAAACCTTAAACTATATTTCATTTTAAAGTCTGCTTTAAAATGTGTTGAAAAAGAATTACAATTTCAAAGGAGAGCTAATAATTTTATCCCCAATTGTGTATTTATATTTCAAAAGGCTCTTAGACACAAGTATCGAAGTGCACCTTTAAACATCTCCTCCTCGTCACGTTCCACTTGCTGGTTTAACTTCTTTTTCTGCTGCTGTAGTTTGAATTTATCCCTAAAAGCAGAAGACACTTTAATATACAATGATTATACTGTTATACATATTTATAGATAAACTCTGCAAAGTGGAAATGAACAGTGTTCAACGCAAACTTTGCATGACTTTTTAATGCATTAGCGCTGAAACTGATTGACAAATCACTTGTTGGATTTAATCAGCCGAGGGAAAAAACTGTATCATTAGCAATAGCTATTGTAAATGTACAAAAAGGCTTTCTATGAGATGGCAGAAAACATTTCAATTCATCTGTGCTTGTTGCAACAAACACAACTGCTAATGTACTGCAAAGGATTTGGAAGTAAACATTTTTCTGACAAAGATTTAGAAAAAAAGGAAGGAGTGATTTTTTTTCACAAACAAAGGTTTAAGCAACAGAACAAAATATTCTGTGAGGAATTAAAAATACTGCTGGCTAACAACAGTTTAGGAAGTAGAAGATTTGGCAAGAAACCAAATTTCAAATTTCTCTTTAGGAATTGCAAACTAAATTGTCAAATGTTTGAGTTTCTCTGGCAAATGCAAATTTGACAACAGTATAGTGTGAGCAAATTATTCACAATGTAATGTTTTGAAAGTAAACAGTATTGAAATTTAACACAATTTTAAGGGGACATAAAGAAGTAAAGGTTTCGGAGAGCAAATGAAGCTACAGGAACAACTGTCATTATCACAGAGCTAGGGCTGCACGATATTGGAAAAATCTAACATTCATTCATTTTCCTTCGCTTAGTCCCTTATTTATCAGGGGTCACCACAAGGCAAGGCAAGTTTATTTATCTAGCACATTTCATACACTATGGTTATACACCACGGTGACTGAAGCTCTGCACAAGACTTTTGGCCAGTGGAGAAATTAAAATGGTCGTGCCGAACTGAGTCTGGTTCTCTCAAGGTTTTTTTTCTTCACTCCCATCAGGTGAAGTTTTTTTTCCCTCTCCGCTGTCGCCACTGGCTCGCATGGTTCAGGATTGGTAGAGCTACGCATCGATGAATTTGCTCTTCAGTGTTTGAACTCTCAGTAATGATTAAATCACACTGAACTGAGCTAAACTGAACTGAACTTAAACACTAAAAACTGAACTACCCTGATCCTGTTACTATGACCATTTATGTGAAGCTGCTTTGACACAATCTACATTGTAAAAGCGCTATACAAATAAAGCTGAATTGAATTGAATGGTAACTCAAAGTACTTTATACAACACCACAGTGGAATAAACCTCCAACTATTCCAACATATGTTTTACGTAGCGGATGCCCTTCCAGCCACAACCCAATACCTGAAAACACCCACACACACACACGCACAGACACACACACTCATACACTACAGCCAATTTTGTTTTACCTAATTCATCTATATGTCTTTGGACTGTGGGGGAAACCAGAACACCCGGAGGAAACCTACGTCCCCATGGGGGAGAACATGTAAAAATAGAAATGCCAATTGGCACAGCCAGGACTTGAACCATTGACCTTTTCGCTGTGAGGAGAAAGTGCTAACCACTGAGCCATCGTGCCGCCACAAAATCTAACATTTCAATGTTTTTTATGTAATTTGCAATATGAATTCTGTCACCAGATGACCTAATCTCTTTATTGAGGATGATTCTGCAGTGGGAGTGCATCTCCAGCAAACCAAATAAGCAATCTATAAATACAATCAAGAAAATGATACAACTGAAATAAAATGTTCTATCATTTTTTGAGTTGCAGTATTCAATTAAAGTAATTGAATGCTAAAAATTGAAATAACTCAGTAAAACTGATCATTGTTAGTCACAAATGGTATGATTTCTTAAGCCTGAATGCTTGTAAAATCATTACACAATCACAGGCCTCAAAAACACATGCAAACTCAATATTGCATATCCTGCGATGTGACTATTGCGAATCATCACATTACGATATCGATGCTGAAACAATATATTGTGCAGCCCAACAAGGAACCATTAGCTTGATGTCATTATTATTCGATTAAATACATTTTTTGCGTAGCTTGTCAGTGAACTTCATCTCTGTGTAGTAATCTCATCATCTCCATCTGCAAACCTGTGCTGTGCTGAAGGTTTACTAGAACCAGGTTTACTTACAAAATGCATGTGGTAAAACACAAACAAATGAAACATAGATACCATTTCTTTTTAGCAGGTTTCTTTTCCCCCGTCGGCTCCTCCTCTTTCTTTAGCTCCACCTCCGGATGTCGCTCCACTTGGTTGTTTGTGAGGAAGAGGACATGCTCCGCCTCTTCTGTCATGCGGCGGACGTAAGCTTTCTCGGACTCTCTCTGCCTTCTGCGGAAGTGCGGGACAGGAATATCTCCAGAGAGCATCTTAGGCTTTGAGTCTAAAATAAGAAACTTGCGTGAGCGTACAGTGATATGAGCCTTCTTCCACTAGTCTTGTCACTGTGCAATTAACTTACCTGCAGAGATATGCAGAAACTTGCATTAAGTTATGCACTTTTTCTGCTTGACTGTGTATTTTGTTTATACTTTATACACATTATATCTATTCTACACTAAGACATATACAATAGATACATTATGTTTGTGTACATTTAGAGATGCACATCTGTTGGCTTGTGCTAACTGTCCTCATAGTTGATTACTAAGTGTTAGGCCCACATGAAATCTGAGCACCAAGAAATCCGCAGATTTTTAGCCCATCATTGAGTATATATATTTACTTCTGTAAATGTGTTAATTCATATTTATTCAGCTTTTTTATTTATTTCTGTAATATTACTGACAAATTTGAAAATGATTTATTTACAATACAGTTTGTAAAGTAATATCTTCAGTGTTTAGTAAATATATTATAGAAAGAGACTTGCTTTGTTTACCAATTAAGTGGATCTAAATGAATTTGCATTGTAAATGTTAAATAAAAAGTTATAAAGGTGTTATTTTTTTATTTCATACATAAAGTTTTAGTTATTATACTCCTAAAATTATTCAGCATAAAGTAAAAATCGCACGTTTTTTGCACAGAAATCGCAAAAATTGTCTGGGCCTACTAATTGTGTATATTGTTAAAATTGCACATTTTATTGTGTATACTACTATAGTGTTGTAACGGTATAAAAAATTATAATTTGATTGTGACCAAAATCATATTGGTTATCAATATTATCACTTTTTAAGTGTTTTGAAAATGTTAACTTATATGCACACTATTGGAATTTTGCCAGGTTTTATAGACCATTTCACTGTTATTGGCCCATGAACATTTCCTGCTTGTTTTCAAACTATTTCATAACTGCAACAAGACGCAATTTAATCATACTTTAATGTTCAAACAGCTTTCATAATGTCATTTATCAATATGTGAACATTTTTTAATTCTCTGAAGCTATGAAAATTAAAAATGTAAAACAGGGTATAGGTCAGGACCATAATTATTTAAAGGTGTCCTGATCAGGTTTTTTTCCCTCAAGTTTGAGTCATTTGATTTTGAGCATCTACCGATACCGAAACCCGATCCAATACTTCTTTAATACAAATAAAATACAAATTAATATATAAAAAGAATAAAGAAGAGTGAATAAACAGATCCAGGATGTTATTTTTTTTTATTCACCTTATTTTAACATTCAACAACTGTGTTAATAAACGGAGCACTTCTGTGAGATAGCTTGAACAATCAAGTAATAAATAACATCAATTCTTCACTCTTGGACTTTAGTGCAACAGTAAATATAAAAAAAGTCTAATATAAAAGCAAATAGCACATCAACTTAAAATATCTTTGCCGGCATTAAACCAATAGCGTCTCTACAACAAAGTGATTTCACGCGTTGCTGTTTTTGTGTGAAGTCAAGAAAGAGGTCTAACTGTGCCACCACAAAACTATAGACGTGTTAAAATATAACGTATATATAGTCCTGAGTGCGAGGTAACACCCGATTCACATAGAGTCTGAAACGCTTGATCGGGCCTGATTTCTGATCAGGTGATCAGATCTGGACATATAGGACAAATAGGTGAAATAATCCCCTGAGTGTTGCCTTCTTCTGCATCCCTCCTTCTCACATTTATACAATACTGCAAATGCTTTATTAAATATTTAGTTTTAAAACTGTGATAATTAAACTTGATTGTCATGACAATAAAAATGTGAAATGGTAAATACTAACCATCAGAAAATTTATCATGGTTTACCAAGAAACTGTTAATCGAGACAAGATTACGAAACGTAGGATAAGTAATTATATTAACAATAATTATGAAGTATATTTGTTTAATGTATTATGTATATTGTTTTTATTTTGGTAAAGTACTCATGTATCAAGACAGCAGTTGGGGGTTGCTCCATGAGAGCTTCATTGTACAACTACAGTGACAATAAAATACTTTTTAAATTCAATCCAATCACATCCTTTAAAAAAGGTTAACAATTTGATAAGAAATTTGTGCGTGAAAGATCAGTGTGAGGTTATGTGAAACAAATAAATCTATCATAAATGTTATCATTACCCGATTCAAAACATATTAGGTTGATTTATTAAAGATGACAAATTATAGACTATTCTGCCAGTTGATCAGCTTCAGATGTTTGCTACTGTCCATCAGGGATTTTACGGCCCGTTTCCACTGAGTGGTAAGGTTCGGTTCGCTTTTATGGCCGTTTCCATCATCAGAATGTACCTAAAAGTGAACTATACCATATTACTTTTTTGCAAAGGGTACCTAGCATGACAAAAGGGTATTTGTACTATACTATATGGTAATATACTATTACTACTGTATTTCTGTAAAAGGCGGAGCTAGACGGGCAGCTGAACGCTATTGGTTTACAGAAAATCGTCACTCGTGCATACACAAGCAGAAGAATGAAAACAAAGAAATCGCCATATTTAAATACACAGCCAAGAAGTTACATCGTAATATCATGGTTTCCGCTACATTCATTCTTCCATGGCGGGGCGCCACGCCAAAATTGATCCTACCATGGCTACCTTACAGCTTTTCATTCAAAACATTCAGTCGTGTTATTTTTTTAATAGATGGTAATAATCGCACCAAAACATATTAAAAGGTAAGTGAATTACAACCGCGCGAACTTTTCTGTAAACGTAGTAGTGCTGTGCGTATTTTTTTAACCCTTTAAGGTTACGTGCTGACTGACTGGTGCGTGATGCGTGAGGCCAGCAAACATGACAAATAGACTTTTCACTTTACTATTTTTGTGCACGAGCAGAGGAAATCGGCACGCAAGCAAAGATATTTCCATGCTTGTAGGCTGTTACATAAATGCGATCTCGACTTGTAATACTGTGCACACGACATTTGTCATTAAAATAATGCCACAGGTAGTTGGTAGATCTGTGTAAATAAGGCCTGCCGCCACAGCTGGAAAAAATCCTAGAGGAAACACTGAATATTATGTGCATTTAATAACGAGCCATGCTCGACCCGAGCTCAGACAAACCTTGTCGTTGTCTTGATGTACAGCCACAAAGCCAAGAAGAACAAAATCTGCCGAGCATTATATGTTTGCATTTGGTTTTCATATAAAGATTTATATTTATGAATCCATAAATTAGCCTAGAGTTATTCATAAACAGTAAACAATATGTGTACTAAAATCCAGTGTGTTCATAATTAAGGTAAGAAGAAACGCACCAATCAACCATCCAGAAATCATTATTTTGTATCAATTTGGCTGATCTCCTTTCGATTCTTGCATAAAACCGCTTAGCAATTACAATTTCAAGCTGAAAATAGCTCTTTTTTTAGCTATTTAATTCAAGTTTACTTTTATAGCACATTTTACAATGATTTTTGTTCCAAAGTAGCTCAACAAAAGGTTCATGTGACTATAATCAAAATCAGAAAAAAGTTTAATATATTAAAATAAGATATTCCAGTATGTTTTTGTGTGCAGTTTTTTTTGTTTGTTGTCGCTCATGTTTTGAAAAATATAAATTTAATTTCATAAAAGTCACTTTGTTCCTTTTTAATTCAGATTTATGAAAATTAACTTCGCATACAATGAATAAAAAATGATGCATTAATCAAATAACAAAATAAACCACTCAGATAGATGAGAAAATAAGACTAAGCAGTACCTTTTTTCTTCTTTTTAAAGCCCTGCTTCATCCTTTCCTTACTCTTCATGATTTCTCGTAATCGATGAGGAATCTGATTGAGGTGGTCGTCTGATCCAGGGTCAGCATTTTTCTTTGACTTCTTTTTACTACAAAAGACAAGAAACTTTTCAATTAGATGCAAACCCCAGACAAAAGTCACTTCATATGTTACAAAATCAGTGTTTTTTCATCCCTTTTAAACTGTTAAGTAATGAGCAATTCCAGTGTTATGGATGTGACATTTGCAGTAAAAACTTAACACATAAATTCACATTTATGTGTATGTTAAGTATTTGTTAACATTATATTGAAACATCTGTTTATATTTTCCAGAAGAACTAACACAGAGTTAAGGGACCAGAAAATTATCAATCTGTAAACATGTTTTGTACTTTAAATAAAGAAAATAAACATGCATTATGGATGTGACCAAACAAAGTCAGCAATACATTTTACAACATACTTTGTAAAATTCTGTGAATTAAACTGCACAACCCAAAAGAAATAAAGCTATCCAAAAGGATAATAGTTACTCACTATAGAACAAAAAGATTGGTTTTATTTTATCTAAGATTTTTGCTTTTATGAGCGTTGTTATGGATGTGACGCCTTTCTGTTATGGATAAGACAGATTTGAAATTGGCACTTGTGTGACTTTGGTAAATTAAATATAATTGTTTAAAACACTGATAGATACATTTTGAGTATCTCTAAAGTACTTTAAAATACTTGCTAAAACAGACACACACAAAAAAAAACTTAGAAACTGTTTCCATATCTTGGTGAATACATTTTTTTTCATGGCAAGGTTGACTTTTGCATGCAATTGCTCTAATACATTTCCATAATCTTCATGTGTAAACATTCAGTAACGTTATATAAGATATCATTTAAAACTACACTTCCTCTAAGAGTTCTACATCTCAAATACACATACATGGATTTCAAAGTCATTTAGATATACTATTCATGGAGGCGGAATTTCAAGGTTTTGGACAGTTTTGGTAAATACACATGCAAAATCGTTTAAGCTGTTGAATAAGAGATTTTAAACCCTAAAACATGCAAATTTAGCAAAACATCATATGTCTGAGTATACAAACTTACAACACTTAGAAACTAATAACTCGAGATCTTCACCATTTTCTATTAACTGATATTTCATGTTGCTAAACTAATGATTCTACATTCTGCTTTTAACAGATATTTGATTATTTAATGCATATGTAGTAGTAGTAGTAGTAACTTAGTAGTAACGTATTTGTCAAGTTAGCTAACGTTTCACTGACACACCGTTTCTGAAGTATTGAGCTTTACACATACCTGAAATGTTTCTCATTCTTCTGTTTGAGTTGTTTTTCTGTTTTCATTGTGTATTTCTTGTGTAAAAAACAGCGTTTTCCCCAGTTGACTGTAAACTCGTGTGTCGCGTGTGTGTTCCTCCAGTCTTCTTCTGCGCCACGGAGAATTAGCAACAAACACCAGCGAGTTACTGCCACACGCCGGCTGAGGAGAGAAGCTACACCGTTCGCGCCGTTTTTCTTCTGAGATAAATTACATTTAAAATTTTCTGAAAAACACATGTCATAGGGCTTTTTAAAGGTGTCCACTTTTATGTGTGATTTAAACTAGACAGTTAGGGTATATTAAGATTGTAAACTTATTTTCAAGTGTTTTACTGTTGTCATGGCGGTACATCCAGTGGGCACTGAGGTAAAGTTGGTTTTATATTCAACATTCGTTTATTTTTAATTGTCTCTACATTATTTAATACGAACATTTATATATTCGGTCTAATAATCGGATTTAAGTCTTTAAAACATTTTAATTGAATGTGAACAATGTTGCAGCTAATAGTCGTTGGTTCTTAATATGATTTTCCCTAACTTACTTATAATTTGCAAATGACACTTTTCTGAAATTATATAGTTAAGGAGAATGTCCGAAAATAAAAACAACTTTATATCAATCATACCTAAGTCAGGCTACTGCTTAAGACTGCACTGTAGTAATGCCAGATATTAGTCTTCACCATAATTTATTATTTTGGTCAATTATTGTATACTGTAGGCCTATACAGAAATCATTGAAGTGGATCAAATTCAAGACAATAAAGTTTTTTTGTTTTTTTTTTGTAGTTTTAGGACAACTTTGTTTTTAATGAAAGGTTTGCTCCACTTTAAATGTTGATTAGACAGAATTTACACAGTTCGTGAATACTGCAACATTATGTAGTGTATACAGCAGGTTATGCTGCTTGATGTAGCAACCTGACAAGTAGTTTGACTGTTTTCTGACGCTTATTATTCCTCGTCATGTTTTCAATGAGCACTGAATCTAAAGTTCTAAAACAATCGTAAAAACGAGCGCACTTCCCCATTGTAGAATAAGGTCAAAACCCTATTGAAGAAAACTAGAGCAGTAAGCTATTGGTTAATCACTAGTTGTTTTACCCAGGGGCAAGGTCAAACATTTTAAAGTGGGTTTACCCTACATTAATTACATGCTTTCTATTTAGGATTTTCCTTAATCAAAATATTTTTGTCTGGATGGGCCTGCTTTTAGTTTGAGTGAGATTGTGTCACCCTGGCCCTTATGTAGCCTCGTCACTGGTTGTACTACATCCACTAGAATCACCTAAGGCAGTGGCTCTCAAACGTTTTTCATCAAGTACCACCTCAGAAAAAAATTGTCTTTCCAAGTACCACCAAAATGAGAAGTATTGAAATACAGTAGCGCAGCACGCCCAGTAAAGCAGCTACAACTCTACACAGTTAAAAAAACGTGGCTGATTACATAAGAAAATATAGGCTATATGTCATATATGACATATTATATACATCATTTTTGATAAATTTTGAAATGTGTGTAGCATGTACATGACATATTTCATTCCTCCGCGTACCACTAGAAGGAAGCCTGCGTACCACTAGTGGTACACGTACCACAGTTTGAGAACCACTGACCTAAGATAAATTCAACTGGTATGGTAGAAAATTTTCCACCATCTGCTACTCCCTTTTAGGTGGTACAGGTTTTGTGGATGCACACCTATAAACCAATCAAACTGTGGCATCAAACTAACCCAGGTTCACATTAAAAATACTCCTGTGAAAGCCTCTTTAGTGAAGTTTAATTGTGCCCAAGCTTTAGAAAACACAAATTAATTGGCGCTATTGGAAAGATTTGTTTGAACTTAATATAATATTTGCTTTCATAGGCTTTCTATAACATGGGCTATTGAGAGTTTACAGTATACAGTAGGGGTAATAACGAAATGTCTGAAACTCTGTTTATAATTGTAAATGTTGCAAATGAGTCATAAGGTATTTTCCAGCCAAAGTTACACAAGGGAGAATAAAAGCTGCATTTTGCAAAGGTGCATCACCGCAAAATTGGTTTAATAAATTGGTTTCTACTTTTACCAGTACATTAGCTTTACTTTCCAAGAGCATATACACTCAAAACTCAGGCTCATTTGAGCAGCCTCTCAAAATTAGCTGACTAAAGCTTTCCGTGAGCTGGGGACACCCGGATGACCCTCAGTCTCCACCTGAGGGAAACAACACGCTCTTTGAGTCCAGAAAGTGGACAGATGGATTGTTAATACATTCAGAGCGACCTGACTCACCGTTTCCTGAGAAAGCTCCACTCCCAGGTACCCACAGTGACCTGCCCGCATAGCAGCCTCTTTGTGACCTGTTTACATGCTTATTCTCTAAATATACTTTATTTTATACTGTATTTTTATTGCATAACACTGATTTCTGCTATTTCTTTTTTTTTTTTAAGAGCTACACTGGCTGACGTTCAGAAAAATCTTAGCGATCAGGTGGTCTCCTGTGCAGAAAAAAAAGACTTTCAGTAACATGTGAAGCTACCTAAATAGGAATTATCCTATGCTTTCTGTCGAAATTGTTTATGACATATTTTGGGGGCCACATTCCAGGAGGGGTTGGGAAGCACCGGTGAGGAAGGGGAAACAAACACCATAAGGGGTCATCCAGTTTCACCCAAGCTAATCCAAGTTTGGCATTGGTTTTTACGACTGGCGGAGCACTTGTGAGAGCGATATGTCTGGATGGTGGTGTATTTAGACGTACTGGTGGATGGTTTTAAACATTAGCTCAGAGCTCATTCTGAACAGACATTATGTGTCTAACATTGTTATCCATATTTACAAAGGAATCTCTGAATGAGAGACACACACTTCTGTATATCTGTTGTGTGAAAGGACACATGCACTGTAAAAAATGATTAGTTACTTCACAGGTTCTCAAACCAAGCGTATAGCCACACTTCCCTAGATAGCCACATGGTTGTAACAAGTGAGTAAACATCCTGCCTTAAAGGTTTACGAAAACCTCGAGTACTTTATTTGAGATTTTAACAGATTTGTGTGTATTGAGCATCAGTTAAGACAATGTTTGAACCTGCCAGCTTTAATTGTGGAAAAACTGTATAATTTTGGGATTTTGTCGGCTAATTTCAGCTTCCGGGTTTAAAATGATTTTTAGGGCGGGATCAAAATCGGCGACGTAGCACAAAACTGCATGTGCGAAGATGACGCGTTGTTTTCTCATTATTTTTCATAGCAGAGGTTTCTTATCCTATGAGAGAAGCCGGCTTCTTAATTATTCATGAGATCACATGCGTTCCGAAGGCAAGGTAGACCTGCCAGTGCCAAGCTGTGAGACACGGACCCACGGCACACAGTATTTAGCCGTTCATGAAGGCTCGTGTGTGTTTGTTTCCATGATCCACGGGGTTTGTTGCATGTTTTTCACCGCAATGCTGTCAGCGCCTATACAGCAAAGCTGTTATGTGCAGCAAGCATTTTTGTCGGTAGAGCAGTACGAGAATCAGGGAATGGCAGACGTTGTCTTTTATCAGGAGTTCGTTCACATTTAGACACATCGCCGTGCTGCTGTGTTTGTATAAATCCTCCAGATTACCAACAGGGCTAATGGTTAAAATAGACAGAGCAAGCGACCTGCTGCACTGAGTCTGCATTCAGACCTATGATTCAGACCCGGGGATTTAGGGAAAAGTCCTCATTTATAGTGTTTATATGACCTCGATTATCTTTTTAATGATATAAATTGTGGCTATCTGTATTTGAAATTAAGAATAACAAATGTAGCAGGCCATTAAATTATTGTTTATTTCTTTGCATTTTAACTTTGTAAACTTAAAAAATCATGCGTCTCCTCACCGTTTGTGTCTCATTTTGTGAGCTAACTGACAACAGTTGTTTGCTCCCCTCCTTCTCCACTGCTGGCCACTCCCACTCCTGCCCTTTGCTCTCGGAGCTCCACGCCCATTATGATGCATCTATTAAAAAATTCTGAGGTAGACCTGAACTGAAAGTGGGGGGTGTCATGACTCTTCAAAAGCTACATGTTGACTTTACTTACATTACATTTAGTCATAGCAGACGCTTTTATCCAAAGTAATGTCAAAATGAGGATAATAGAAGCTTTCTATCACCAAAAAGCAGCGATATACTGTATAAATGCCATTAAAAGTATACGTTTGCTCAGCTTTTTTTTCTTTTTTTATTTAAAAGGATAGTTCATCCAAGAATGATAATGTACTAATCATAATTATCGAACCTTGGTTCCAAGGTTCTAAACTTTCTTCTGCTGAACACAAAAGAAGGTATTTTCAAAGAAAATGTCAGAAACCTGTAACCATTGATATTCATAACAGGACAAAACATTTACTATTTCAGTCAATGGTTACAGGTTTTCAACATTTTTCAAAATAACTCAACAGAAAGAAGAAACACAATCAGCTTTGTGACTTGTGAAAGATATGTAAATGTTGACTGAATTTAAATATTTAGCTGAACTTTGCCTTTAAGTATAAAAACCTGCAATCACTAACTTCAATTTTAGGAAAAACAAACAAAGTCAATGGTTACAGGTTTTCAAAATCATTCATTATATCTTCATTTGTGTTTAGCAGGACAAAAAAAAAAAAACTCAACCCAGTTTGGAACAAGTCAAGGGTGAGTAAATGACGACAGGGTTGTCATCTTTCCCTTTCTGGTAAAAACATTGTGCTTTATGATATTGCATGTCTCATAACACAATCTTAATCTTTTTTCTTTTGAGACAGCATTGAGTCATGGACAGCAAGATACGTGAACAGAGACCAAGACATTTGGTATTGACTTTATGATTCACTGAATTAACAATAAACCAACAACACCAAAGCTAGTTTTGTCTAGATTGCTACATGTGAAAAATCCACCTCACTGAACAATCTTTACAGAAGTGTTGGATTTTGACTGCCAGCTCAGCGTCTCGACAATCAGATCAGGAGATAGAATCTGCATGAGTAGATGGTCATGACTCATGCACAGAAAAAAAAAACTCATCAGTCCACAATTTGCAATGGTGCCATTTTTAGACATGAGCAAGAAGTTTGAAAAAAAAAGAGAAAGAATAACCATTAGATTAACTTGTAAATTGTAAAAAAGTGTTGTTTTTTTAGATTTCCATCTTTTAGTGTTGTGCCCGTTAAAACACTAGTTCACCCAAAAGGGAACATTCTGCCATGACCTACACTTTAATTACTCCAAACCATTTTTTTATTTTCTTTTGAACACAAAAGATGGCATTTTGAAGAATATTGGAAACCTGTAACCATTGACATCTATTGTAGGAAAAAAAAGATTTAGTTCCAACATTTCTCAAAATGTCTTCTCGTTATTTCAAGTATAAACTGAATAAAATATTTCCAGAAGTGTCCCCAGTGTGTGACAAATGTCAGTTTTTAGATTCCAACCTGTCTCATTCCTATGTTATGTCTCCCAAATTACAGAGTTTCTTGAACCAAATGTTTCAAAATATTTTTTCAGTTACATTAGACATTCTGATTGAACCAGATCCTATATTAATTAAATTTGAAGTTTTTAAAGAATTTTTGAAACTTACGGATACAACAACAGTTTGTTTCATATGGTTTTATCTGTACCAAAAAACGTATCCTTTTGTTTCGGAAGAAAAAAGTTCCAACTCTTAAATTATGGCTGACAGAGTTAACTGTACATCTGGAAAAATTCAGATATGCCCTTATAGACGAGGTTTTGTAATTTGAAAAAAATTGATACCCTATTATTTCCTTTTTACAAACTTGTGATAAATATGTTTACTGTGCCTTTAGTAGGCTACCTAAGTTTATTGTTGGACAGCTGGTGGGTGGTTGGGGGAATGCATGTTTATTTTTTATTAATTATTATTTTTATAGCTGTCGTTTGTTGTTTTTTTATATTTTATTTATATATTTATTCATTTTCAAATGTCTAATTGTTAGAATGCAAGTTTTATGTTCAGGTATAAAAAGTGTATTTACAAGTGAATTTCTACAAAAAATTTCTAATAAAAATATTGAAACCAAAATGTCTTCTCGTGTTAAAAAAACAACTAAAGGGTGAGTAAATTATGGTACAAGTTTAATTTTCTTTTTGGGTGAACTGTCCCTTTAAGTATTGTAGCGGGAAAACGGGCTAGTGTAAAATTGTTACATTTTCTTTCATAATAATTGAAATACAATTAATACTTGAAATACACTGGTCATCTTTTATAACAAGATGCTATTATATTACAGAAACACTAATTAATAATAGAATTGAATGTACCCATTCAATGAGAGACTGGTAATTTGCATCTTTGTTCACTGCAAAAATAATCTTTCATAAAAAAAACATTTAGCTTGCCCTATTGGCAGATTATTTAGCTTGATTTAAGGAAAAACTTAATTTTGACATATACATGTCTGACAAAAAGACAAAATTTGTTACTTGTCTAGAAAATGCTTCTAGATTTAGATCATTTTAAATATTTTAAGTAGAAAGAAGACAAACTTTGCAGTGTTGGAGATAAATAGTAAAAAAAATATATATAAACCATCTGTATCTTAAAATTGCCTTTCACAAATCAAACATTTTACTAATGTGGTATCCAACATTGTTACTTTTATGTAATTATTGTATGTAGTTCAAATTACTTTAGACACATTTAAGAAAGCAAAAGTCTCCTTGTTTTACAGAAGCTTAGTTGTAACTAGATTTTAGTTATGTAATTTATATTTTACTTAAAACATTAATCGGCTCTCGAGTCACGAACATTCATTCATTCATTTATATTCTTTTCAGCTTAGTCCCATGATTAATCAGGGGTCGCCACAGCGGAAATAACCGCCAACTTATCCAGCAAATGTTTTATACAGCAGATGCCCTTCAGGTTGCAACCTAACACTGGGAAACACCCACACACTCTTGCACACACACTCACATACACTACGGCCAATTTAGCTTATTCAATTCACCTATAGCTAGGGCCAGACGGAATCTGCGGATGTTTTTTGCTATTTCTGCTGAGAATTTTGGTAAAAATCTGCGGATTTCTGCAGAATTATTTTGGGAGTGTCCAGCGGAGTATCAAAACTAAAACCTTAATATATGAAACAAAAAGTAATAAATTATAGAATAAAAACTGAATAAATTTAGATTTACACATTTACTTAAGTAAATAAACAGAATTAATGATGGGCTAAAAATCTGCGGAATTCTGCGAAAAATCCAGCACAATCTCACGGCAATTCGTAACTTTTTTATTTAGTGGCTAATTCGTTTGAATTCGTACGATCTAATTCGTACAATTTAGTACGATTTGCTCATCCCCCAATGACGGTTGGGGTTAGGGGTGGGGTCAGGTGCCACACCTCCTTTTTAAAATCGTACCATTTCGTACGAATTCGAACGAATTAGCCACTAAACTGGCAAAACGTAAAATACTTACGTTTTCTCGTGAGATCAGGCTGGAAAAATCTGCGGAATTCTGCGCGTGCAGATTCCGTGTGGGCCTACCTATAGCACATGTCATGGACCTGTGAGGGAAACCAGAGCACCCGGAGGAAACCCACGCCAACACGGGGAGAACATGCAAACTTCACACAGAAATGCCAACTGACCCAGCTGGGGCTCGAAGCAGCGACTTTCTTACTATGAGGCGATTGTGCTACCCACTGTGCCACCATGCCAAGTCTTTAATAAAACAGTCATTTGTATTGATATTTTTATTATTTTTATTTAATGTAATTTACGAAAGCCTTAAGAACAGGGAAAATGTGCTTCTAAATTTTCTTTTAAAAATAATCAGGTCTTAACAGAATTATCCATTAAAATTGATTGTATTTTAAAACGAGTTTACAGTACATTACCTTGTTTACCTTGGATTGTGTCACAATCCCCTCTTGTTTCTCCTAAAACAAACAAAGGCACATTATTTTGAAATTCAGATGGAGGCCTGTAATGCTGCAGGAATTGCACACTTCACCTTTAACTTCTGAAGGACCTCGTCTCCATTCTCAATTTAGATGTCCACAGGAATGCTTTAACCGACTGGGTTTTTGCTTGCTGCGCAAATAATAAATATACCCCAATGCCAGCAGCTTCATTTAAATGGATTCCTTATCACTGGCCGTGGCTTCCTTTCAGAAAACTATTTTATTTCTAAAATAATCTCGAGCTAATATTTGCCGAGGCTAAAGAAGGCACTTGTGGTGAGAGAGAGCACAAGATGAGCTCTAGCTCTGAATCCAGCCTCCAGATACCACACGGCTCCAAAACGGATGAAACCGGCCACTGACGCAAATCCTATGAGAGACGGCGTGCAATCCAAGACACCGCCACATATTTCCCTCCTCCGTGTCTCTGCCTTGTCTGTTTTTATGTATCTGTTAATGGGACTTCTCAGAAGTGAATGCAGTGTGTCATTATGCAACAATACAGTAGCTTCAAATAGAGTCGTTGTGCAATTGTAGTTTTATGTGTGCAAATACTGTGGCCCCAAAAATGATTTGCACTCTAAAGATGTCATTTAAAAGTTATAAAAGTTTATTTTGTTACTGTATTTTTTTGGTTACACAACAAAAACTCTAAATGAGTATTAACCCTCCACCCCTCACCCCTGAAAATATATTGCACAAACTCTTTTTTTTAATAGAAAATACATTACAAAATGAAGTTTTTTGGGTTTCAGTCAATTAAAATAAAGATAAGCATGTTTTTTTCCAGCATTTATATCCATAAATTTAGTTATTGGGTGATTTTTGGTTGCAAGTTTGTGGAACATTTAAATGTGTTAAAATACACTTTTTTTTTTAAATACAAAACAAAGCAGCTTTAACCTATTATTATTTAAGTTTGCTAATTACAAAATGTTTTCAAAACTTTCTAAAACATTGTTATTTACACCAAAACTTCACCTTCAGAAAGATTATAATATTGGCTGGATTTATGTTTATTAGTTCATTCAAATGGCGGCAGAGTGGCCCAGTGGTTAGCACTATCGCCTCAAAGCAAGAAGATTGCTGGTTAGAGTCCTGGATGAGCCAGTTGGCGTTTCTGTGTGGAGTTTGCATGTTCTCCCTTTGTTGGCGTGGGTTTCCTCAAGGTGCTCCGGTTTCTCCCACAGTTCAAAGACATGCGCTATAGGTGAATTAAATAAACTCAATTGGCCGTAGTGTACGAGTATGTTTCTGAATATGAGAGAGTGTGAGTGTTTCCCATTACTGGGTTGTGGCTGGAAGGGCATCCGCTGCGTAAAACATATGCTGGAATATTTGGTGGTTCATTCTGCTGTGGCGACCCCTGATGAAAAAAGGGACCAATCAAAGGAAAAGGAATGAAAAGTTCATTCAACATGAGCCATTCTGAATGTTGACTGGATTTGAAAAGATTTCTTCATTTAATGTTTTTAATGTGCATAATTGGCAACAAAATGAAAAATCATTTTTTTTTAGCTCTAAGCCCAAGCAAGAATACTATTATTACAGAATATTATTCATTCTTCAACAATTTCTTAAAGCGACAATTCACCCAAAAGTACAATTCTGTCATCATTTACTCTCCATTCATTTCTGGTGGGAAAAAAACAGCCGTCGACTTCCATAATAGTTTTTAAATGGCATTTTGGATGTCAACGACAACAGGAGTTTTTCAACATTATTCAAAATATCTTATTTAGTGTTCAGCGGAAGAAAGAACTTCATAAAAGAACCCTTTGTGTGTGAATATCAACCACAATGAACTGAGCTAAACTGAAGTGAACTTAAACACTGAAAACTAGACTGACACAGTTTCAATTTACTATGATCTTCTATGTGAAGCTGCTTTGACACAATCTACATTGTAAAAGCGCTATAAAGGTAAATTAAATTGAATTGAATAAAAGAACCCTTTGGGTGTGAGAAAATGGTGAGGGAATTTCAACACGACAATTCGTAACTTTTTGAATTAATTCATATGAACTCATACTAACTCATTCGTACAACTTAGTACGATTTGCTCATCCTCCACTGACAGTTAGGTTTAGGGGTGGAATTTGGTGCCACTCCTCTTTTTTAAGATTGTACATTATTATACAGTCAAACTTGTACGTATAAGACACTAAAATGTCAAAACGTCAAATACTTATGTTTCCCTGAGATCAGGCTGGGGAATTTTCATTTGTGGGGGCACTTTTCTGTTTAATTGTTGTTTTAACAATGTATGATGAAACCCTGAGACTATTTGGTTAAAATAATTTGGAAAGTTAAGTTAGCTCTCCAAACAGCTTTAACATAATTAGTTTGCAGATCATTTTAGCCATAGGAGAAATGGTCGTGGCCAACTGAGCCTGGTTTCCCTCGAGGTTTCTTAATTCTTCACTTTCGGCAATTGGTGAAGTTTTTTCCTTGCCGTTGTCGACACTGGCTTGCATGGTTCGGGATCTGTAGAGCTGCGCATCGATGGTTTGCTCCTCAGTGTTTGGACTCTCAGTAGTGACTATTAAACCACACTGAACTGAGCTAAACTGAACTGAATTTTAACACTGAAAACTGAACTGACACTGTTTCAGTTTACTATGATCTTCTATGTGAAGCTGCTTTGACACAATCTACACCAGGGGTCTCAAACTCGCGGCCCGCGGGCCATTTGCGGCCCTCAGTGCAATATTTTGTGGCCCGCGCCGACCGCTGTACACTGACAGAATCAGCGGAGCGGGGTGAGAGAGCGCTCCCCGCTCCGCTGATTCTATCCGTACTCAGCGTGCTTGTCACTCAATGCGCGTTGTCGCGCGCGTTCTAATCAGCTGTGTTATCGCGCGCCTACTGAAGGGCGGGACTGAGGGTGTGTCGCGTCGCGGGGGCACTTTTGATCATTTTGGAAGGGCACTTTCTATGCAAGACTAAAAAGGGCATGTGCTCTGCACAGGTTGAGCCCTATGTGTGCACATATTATAGGTAGATACAGACTGGTACAGACTGATGTGACTGGAGTGGGGTGGTGGTGTTTTATTTATACATATATACGTCTTTTTTTTTAGGTGAGGGAATGGAAGTTTTGAGTGAGTTCCCCCACTTTTTTCCCTAGGACTTCAATAAGTCAAGCCATACTGAGGGTCTCAACTGCTTCCGCTCTAAAGTCTCTGGCAGCAAGAAGTAGGCAAAAGATGACATGTTCAGAAGAACTGTTCATAATCTTTACTCAATGTTCTATTAATGTTCAGGACACTTGATGTTCAGAAGAAATAATTAAAACTGTTAATAATGACATTTGAGGACTTTTTTTTTGTGAAATCCCTTATGCGGCCCAGCCTCACCCAGACTTTGCCTCCTGCGGCCCCCAGGTAAATTGAGTTTGAGACCCCTGGTCTACACTCTTTCTGTAAAAGCGCTATACAAATAAGGCTGAATTGAATTGAATTGAATTTCTGACATGCATTTTAAAGTTCCAAAAAGTGTCCAAATTCTTTTTGCGACCACTGAATATGCTGCTAATTCACTTTTAATGCACACATATACTCAATAAAAGACTTTTGCTGCTTACTCAAACTGCAAATCAGTTTAAAAACAACACAATTCGGTGTTTTGTGGGGGACAACTTAATTGTTTTCTGTTCGATCCACTTACATTTGTAAAAACAATTAAATTAACTTAATTTGTGTTGTGACAACATTAAGGATGTGTTAAACTCTGCATTTTTTTTACAGTGTACATCTTTTCTAATTGTAGGAGGAAGTGCTAATTACCAAACATTTACATTCAGACATTTAGCAGATGCTTTTATCTAAAGCGACTTGAGAATGAATGACATCACCACTGATTGAGCTAATACCTTCACCTCTCCATTATTCAGCATTCTCAGAGGCACCAGAGAGGTTATTGGCAATAAATAGTTGTTGTCACGGTGTGAGGTCTTGGTGAAACGATACCTCTGTGTGTGTCCTCTCACATTTACATGCACTCATATTCACATTCCGGGTTTCATACAGACTGTGCAGAAGCCCTGGAGCCAGGATGTCTTGACCAGAGTCTCATGTCCACTGTCCAGTGTTCCTGGCCGGGACAAACCAAATCTGACCACAGAGAGAGAGAGAGAGAGAGAGAGAGAGAGAGAGAGAAAAAGTGTAGACAGGAGAGATTCAATGAACATTGGAGGATTTACACAACAGATATTAAACACCTACCATCAAGAATGGCAAAACGCCAAACCCAATTGCCAAAAATAATGATAGTTTGGTGCTCTGTCACTCAAACTTTCTTAAAAATTTACCGCCTATGTATATCTTTCAGCATTGGAGTGATATTTATAAATAGAGCCACTGACCTGTTTGGGATTTTACCTCTTGGCAAGCTTTTCGTACTCAAGGTTCCCATGATCTGTCAGCAGCAGGAAGGGGTTTTGAGCTTGGTCCAGCCCGTGAATGCACACTTCACTCAAAGAATTGGCCAATTCCCCACCTCGCAATTATGGTCTGTAGGAACATGTTTCTTAAAATGCAACAAGTTTAATTTGGCCAGGTCACCTCCTTCGGTGGTATCCTTCCACAATCAATATATCCAACTTGAAATACCTGTTCAATAATCAATAGTGAATCTTTCTCAGCTTGAAAAAACACATTTACTCTCACAGACAGTTGGTTGACTTTGCCCCCGCTCTGGGATTTGCCAGATAGTGAACTAGTGGCACATTTCCATGGGCAAATTGGATGTAATTGAGAGGCTTTTTGTCTTTTACAGAATACTTCCTTTAATGCCATCTAGATACGGCTTTAACCTCCGGGTTGTCAGGCATGATTGCATGGAAAGTAGTTCCTATACAATTGTCGAGATACAAAGGACTTCGCTAACAAATTATAGGATTATTGCTACAGCAGACTGCCATGGGAAACCTAATACTACAGGAGTGGACAGGACGGAGGAAAAAACAACAATTAGTCTTGTTATTCTAGTGAGAAGCGGTGGGAACCTTTTTAAACTAGAAACTATTTACTTCAAATATCCCTAAAGAAAGTCGTGGTCTAATCTATATACTTAAAAAGTTCCCACTTAGCTGATGATTGATTATAAAGCTTGTTTGGCATGCTGTCCTGCGAGAGAGCCCTGAGCTCATAAGATCCGCAAGCCCGGGGCTCCCTCCCATTTGCAAGGCGAGAAGGGAGTTTGAGCTCAGGTAGATCTCGAGAACTCCCTTGCTGTAGTAGGTAATGAACAGATAGTGATTGCTCTTAAGAGATAACTAATTACTAGGAGCATGTCTATGGTGCCGATTTGGATTAGTCAATTAACTTTAGTTGCATGTTTTTGGACGGTGGGAGGAACCCGGGGGAAACCCACGTGACCAAGGAGAGAACGTGTAAACTCCGCACAGAAATGTCAGCTGGCTTGGTAAGGGCTAGAACCAGTGGCG